TCTTTGCAGTCTTTGCTGATTAATGTACGTTATTTGCACAGGGTGTGACGTGATAGGATAAGGATTTAGGAATTTCGGCTTTTTCTCTGTCAAATTCTCTGTGTTCTTTCACTTTTTGTCAAAGTTTTTTTGGGGGTTTTTTGGGCTGTGTTTGGTTTGGCCGTGCTCTGGGATTGCCTTCTGTTCCTTCTTTTCATGGTTTCCAGAGACTCTCAATTCTCCTTTTCTAAATGCAGCGTCAGCCTCTTCCAAGGATTGGCGGGAAGTTCATTCAAGTTGACGCTAAATTCAGAATTTTGCGTTCTTTAGCCGTTCAGTTTTCATTGGGACAAAAAAAAAGTTTCTAACTTTTGTGAAAAGGGTTAGGTGTGCGCAGAATAGCCAGGAAAATATCAGAAGCAGAGAATTGTTTTCAGATATTTTTTTCCTTGTTTTCTTCCCTTCTCAGAAATAAAAAAGGTATTCTTTTTTGAAATAATGCAGGCAGTCCTCGACTTTCAGCTGTTCGTTTAGTGACTGTTCGAAGTTACAACGGCATGGGAAAAAAGTATTTTTTTTTCAGACTTATGACCATTTGCAGCATCCTGGTGATCATTTGACAATGGGTTCATATTTATGACGGTCGCAGGGTGATGTGAGGAGACCTTCTGGCAAGCAAAGTCAGTGGGGAAGCCAGATTCACTTAACAAACATGTCACTAGCTTAACAACTGCTGTGGTTCACTTAATGACCGTGGCAAGAAAGCTCCTAAATGGGACAAAATCCACTGAACAAAACAACAACAAAAATGTTGGGCTCAATTGCAAGTCGTAAGTCGAGGAGGACGCCCTGTAATACAGGCGGCTGTGTAACACACACAAATTAGAAAATTTCAGGTTTCTTTGTTTCAAATCTGATTGTTCTGACCCAAACCTGGTTCCCAGAGAGCAAACACGAGACAAAGGTAACAGCACAACCTTTTAATGTTTCATTTACGAATCCCATCCCTTCACGAATAAAAGGCTGCTTCCAACTAATTATATCCGATTAAGAAAGAGCCTTGCCAAGTTTTTGCAAGGCTGCCAAGAACACCAGATAAAGTTACTAAGCAATAATTCCAACACAAAAGAGTCTCCAAACACCAACTCAGATATTCTAACATTCACCAGGCTTTAGTGTAAAACGTCTTTACCTTCTGCAAAGAACTGCAGCCCTGCGTGCACATGCACTTGGCACAGGCTCCTCGGGGTGCTCCTCATCACTGCTGCCAGCCTCCACAATGTCCAAAGGCAGCACTCCACTCCCTGATGGTCCTGGCCCCATCAATGCATCCCACGCAGGCACCTCACCTGAGTCCTCACTCTCCGAGACCTCAGCCGTCCGCACCTGTTGCCGGCGAACCACGACAATAAATGGGGCAACATCTACTGAACAAAACAACGACATAAATGTTGGGCTCAATTGCAAGTCTTAAGTCGAGGACTACCTGTAATACAGGCTGGCTGTATGACACACACAAATTAGAGAATTTCAGGTTTCTTTGTTTCAAATCTGATTTATAAATCTAAGCGGATTGCTTTTTCCTCCCTGAAGTCTCATTCGAGTAATTTGGTTCTTTAATTAATATACAGTAAACAGGGTTTTTCTACAAAATTGGATTTGCCTGTGCCGCCTTCTTCTGTGTGTTGATTTGTGATTAATGTATAACTCCTATGATTGCTTGCTTTTTTTTTGTTTTTTTTAAAGATTGGCAAGATATTGCTGCCGGCTGGGATTTCCAGCAGACGAAAAACCATAAATTAGGAACAAAGTTGATGTTAATAATGTCAGCCATGGCGTTAAATTGCCTAACTAGTTTTTAGTTTTCTGTTGACACTTTCTGTTTCATTGAAACGGAATTCAACAAGGTTGCATTTTGAAATATGGGCATTGTGGACAAGCAGTCCTTGGCATGCAACGCTTCATTTAGCGACCAAAATTACAACAGCAGTGGAAAAAAAAAAAGACTGATGGCCAATGTTCACACTTAACGACCATTGCAGCAGCCACGCGATCCAAATTAGGACGCTTGGCAACTGGTTCATACTTAGGACCGTCGCTGTGTCCCGGGGCTCCTGCGATCCCCTTTTGCGACCTTCCAGCAAGCCAAGCCAATGGGGGAAGCCCCCGATTCACTTAACGACCGGGTTACTGACTTATCAACTGCCCTGATTCACTTAACACCGGCGGCAAGCAAGGTCGTAAAACGGGACAAAAAGTGAGACATTCAACAAATGTCTCACTTAGCAACAGAAGGCTCAAATGGACAGCCATTTGTCCGAAATTGTATGACAACTTCTGCTCAAGCAGGGGGTTGGACTGGATGATCTCTAAGGTCCCTTCCAACTCTAGGATTGGGATTCTGGGAATTTATAACTGCAGGAAAATTCCCTTTTCCAGCCTTCTTTCTTCCCAGGGGTCGGGTACACAACGGTCCTCCAAAGTGCCTGAGTCCCTCTCCTTCAGGAAATGCAGCACTTCTCTAAGAAGAGGGCAGAGTTTTGGGAGCAAACTCTGATATTCATGGGGAAGGAAGTGGTTGGTTTGGTTTCACACAGACCCAGACAAACACACACACACACACACACACACACACACACACACACACACACACA